TGTGTAGATAGTATAGATTGCCAAATTAATACAACAGCAGTGACAAATCGTGAATGTCTATTAGTAAATGCTTAATATTGTAGACTTAATTATACAAAAGGCTTTGGATGTGCTTTTTATAAATGTAAAGATATCAAAAACCAAACAATTTGTAATTAATCAAATCTTGTTGATGGATAAGGTTGTAAATGGAATAGTGCACAATGTTAAAATCGTTATTGCAATGAATATATGACTCAATCTTAATGTGAGAGTAGCTATGGTATTTAGAATTCAGTAATAACTAAATGCTTTTGGTGTGCAATTAATGCTACAAAATGCTCCAATAATAAATACTGCAATTCCAGTAGCATGACTTCACCTAAATCACATCAAGATTGCAACGATGCAGATAGTATGAATACAATTAAATTTTCATCAAGCGCAATATGCACAATAAAAAAATCAAACTGTTTTAGTTACACTTATGAGAATGCTTGTGTTAGCACACTTACTGGTGTAGACTGTTTTTGGAATGGTAGCTATTGTATAACTAAATGTGAAGTAGTAACTTTTATCCCTACTTCACACTAATAGTGTCATAATTGGAATTCTAACTGTATGTTAAATGGCATATCCTCCTCATGCTAATTCTTAGATTGCTCATAATTATATTTAGATTCAGATTGTAATATATATGCTACAAAATGTTTTTGGAATGGGGTATTCTGCTAAATTATTGGTGATTGTAGCTATTATTCTACTGAAACTTTATGCTCAAATAATAAAAATTCAAAAGGTATTCCTTGTTTCTGGAATAATAGTACATCATTATGTTTAGAAAAAACCTGTTTAAATATACCTACTGCACCATCAAATAACTCAGATTGTTATAATTGGCTTGCTAATTGTTAATTTAATGCCAATAATAATTAATGTGTAGAGGATTGTAATTTGGCTGACGATTCATTTACCACTCATGATTAATGTGAGTCTTATTATGCTAACAAAAGTTGCACTGTCAAGCTAGATATTATTTAATGTGTAGACCTTCCTATTTCATGCGAATTAGCAAAGAAAACATAGTGTTATTTGGACAGAGTTGGAAACTAATGCTTTTATTAGGAATCAACGCAAAAGTGCTTACTTTTAACATGTTCAATTTTAGTTACAAATTTTACAAGTCATGAGCAATGTAACGAAAAATTTAAAGAGTGTACAATAAATCATACTTTGAATGGATGTTAATAATTGAATGATTGCAATAACTATTTAATTCAAAAATAATGTTATTTTGATTAAAGTAATAATTAATGTGAATGGATTATGAGTGAAAATAAATGTACTATTAAGGGATGCTCGACAGCCTAATTGATTCAATATACAGCAGAGAGTTGCCATTAGTATTTTGGTGATTCATGTACAGTAAACTAAAATTTAGATGGATGCGAAATAGGTTAAACTCTTTGTATGAACTACAATTATTAACAATGCACTAGTAATGGGTAAATGAACTTAAGTAGAGTAGATTGTTTCTGGAATGAAGAGAAAAGCATGTGTTAGGAACGAATATGTGCAAATGGACCTTCAAATGCTTCATCTAATTCTGAATGTACAACCTTTCTATCAACTTGCCTAAAAGGTGATTGTCGTAAAAAAGAATGCTTTGATTACTATTATGAGAATGATTCAGCTTGTGCAGCAACATTTGAAGACAAACGCTGTGCAACAAATGGAATTCATTGTGTTTTAAGAATGAAATGTGAAAATGTAACTAGCATTAATGGATGTACGTTTGATATTAATTAAAATCCTTGCGTTTGGATTGATAAAAAGTGTATTAATAAAACCTGCTAGACTGCACACCTTTCACTTACGAAATATGAGCAGTGCAATTCTTATTTGCCATATTGTACAGTTAAATAAGATGGAGGATGCGCAAGGAAGCAGAGTTGTTAAGATTATCAATTTAAAGAAGCTTGTTAAATAGATAAAGAGGATTTTGAATGCATTTGGGACATCCATATAAATAAATGCTTCTCCAATTAATGTATCGATTTCTGTGGGGATGGTATTGTTTCAAGTCAGGATGAACAGTGTGATGATGGCAATTACTTACCATATGATGGTTGTTATAATTGTGAATATTAATGCTCTTTAGGTTGTATTTAATGTGAAAAGGATAATCATTGTGTATAATGTGAAAGTTAATCTTTCTATTTGGATACTCAGTCATTTCAATGTAAAGTAATAGTATCCTAAGATGAATAAAAACCAGATGAGGATGAAAATCAATATATAGAGTGTGGTCAGAATAAAGCTATTATCAATAATGAATGTATTACTTTATGTGGTAATGGAGTTCTTGATAGTAATTTTGAATAATGCGATGATGGAAATAGCTATGGGGGAGATGGATGCTCTTCTTTTTGTATTGAAGAAGATTCCTATAAATGTATCAACCAAGAAAATAAGTTGAGTAGTTGTACTTTTATCTAACAACCTATTTTCAATTTGATTTTGCTCTCCGATAGATAAAATCAAACAAAAATACTTGACCTTAGCTTCTCATAAGAAGTTTATTTACAAGCTGGGCTCCATTTTGAATAAATTGTTGAGTTTGCCATCTTTCCAGAGATTCAATTTATATTATCTGTTGTTCCATTGAAAAATATTACTTCCCAATTAAGCAATCCTCATTATTAAATTACTGTGTAATTTAATTCTCCTGTAACAGATCCAATTTTAAAAATCAATATCCAATAAAATTCTATTCTTAATTAATATGATTTGGATTTATAAACTCATAAGAAAGAAATTCTTCTTGGAACACCCTTAGTATTATCATTAGCTACGTAGGAAAGAACAAACTAAGTTATCTCTATGAACAATGCAATCATTTATACTACAGCTAGTATTTCTGGGCTTCTACTCTTAACTGGCAATTGGATTGTATTCTTCAATTTACTAGACTTGTTATAGACTTTATCTTATATAAGATATATGCAATATAGATTTCCTCCTCATTTAAGATAGTTTCTTGATACTTACACTAAGATTTCCTTAAAACCTATATTGGATCAATTAAAAGTTGATGAGTTTATAGCCAAACTGAATGGAGGCACTCTGCCAAATTAACAAACAAAGTAATCATCATAAACATAAGCCACTGTTTTAAATTAGTTCTATTTAATAAATGCTAAAGGATGTTACTTCTCTTACATTATTTCCATTATTACTTATATTATGTGCTGTCTAATATCCTCAAAT